CATCATACTTTATCATTACTTCCCAACATTATGATGTTATTGTGATTCACTACAATTACTTAAATATTATTGTTAAACTTAATTTAATTAATTTTATAAGGTTGTTTTGTTCTGTAATTTTAAGAAGAGTAAGTGGATTTATACTGAAGAAATAATTAATCAGGTCGGAAAAATAACTATTCAAACTAAATACTAAAAATGATATAACTTTGCGAAGCACATCCATTAAGTTGTACACTAGAAGCGAAAAACATAATTTTATTTATTCAAATCTATTCAAAAGTGTCTTATAATGTTTTTGTTACCAATTTAATATTATTTCACAGTAATTCACTCATTGCATTTGATCTTCCTGATTTGCACTTTCAGGTAATTTTAAAATATAACAATTCTCTAAATTGCATAATAAGTGGGCATTTACGTTTAGCATAGTCGTAATCCATTGTCAAACTGATGATGCTTAAAACAGAACATGTTAAGGATACTGAGCAATCACAAACTATTAAATATGATACCATTACTTCCTAACGGAAAAAAATTGTTGGTCAAAGAAAGTGTTAGTGTTTTAAAACCACAAATTGTGAAGTCTTTATATATTGTTTTATTCGAAACTTCCGGGATAACATGAAGAGCGAATGACTTTCCGAACCGCAGGTTTGCTTCATTGGTTGATTGTCTCAATTGAGGCAGGGTTGTGCTTGTTTCGCTGTGTAGTTTGAAACGGTGTTGGTAAGTACAGAGTATTTTAGAGTATTTTGTCTTTTTGTATGAGGAGTTTTATCTCCGTTAGTTTTTATGTTGCGTATCCTGCACTGCTTATACATGGTTTGGGTATTAAATTAATTCCTTTCATTTTAGTTTAATTTTAAAATTATAGGTGTCATACCGAAATACAAGGTCAAATATCATACGGCGATGGTTTCTATAACATGCTTTATTATTACACTTGTATGTATAGGCCTACCCCCACATTTTATTTGTACAATCTTTTTATATTTTGTTTCTATATCTTTTAAAAACCAAATATCTGTTCGAAACTCTTTACTTGAGGAATAAATGTTCGATTTATCCCATAATATTTAACGAAGATTTGTCATTAGTTATTAGTAATATAACTTTACTCCACTCGAGCATTAATGAACATATCAGTGCAACGAAATGTCGATTACATGGATCCTGATATCAGTGACGGCGAAGTCCCCGAGGTGATGTCCCCGACGAGAGCGAAGGAGCTAGGTCAACATGTAAGGTTACTGTAAAATACCGAGTTGATTTGTGGCCGAGTTGACCTGCACCCTTGCTTACAATCTTTCGAAAGTAGTCGGGGCCGGGTGGGGACGCAAAAATCCGGAAACTACACCAATTTAGAATTTAAAAAAACCAAAACGGATGAATTATCCATTTCACAGCATTTTATACCACCTGTATATTTCATTAAGCGTATGGACAGGGGTTAGTTATTAACAAGGATGTTTTAGAACTAGTCGGTAAAGCAGGAGAAAATTAGATGGATAGGTCACATAATTGCGTCACAACAGTATTTTTAAGGATGTAAGATAGAATAGAAGGGAAAATACCGAGAGAAAGGAAAAGAATAATGCTGCTCGATGATATCCGGAATGAAAAGGCTCGAGTTACAATGAGTTGAAGAGAGATGCAGACGATCGAGAATACTGGAATAGAACTTCTTGATGGACCTGCCTTCCGGCAGAATACTATTGAGAGTACGGTATTTCACGACATCTAAACATAAAACGGCAATCCTACATGTATGTTAATATTTTTTTTATTTCTTTTCAATGAAACAGAATTATGAAAAACAGCACAATGACGTTATCTGTGATTGTACTGTGGATACTGAAAGCTGTGATTTTAAATGCAGGACATGAGTTCGTATCAGGCTCTCAACCAGACGTGAACTTGCTTGGTACTGGAATAAATGACCATCAACC